GGGGGAGGGTCAGAGGGAGAAGCAGACTCCCTGCCAAGCAGGGAGCCCGATGCGGGACTCGATCCAGGGACTCCAGGATCATGACCTGAGCCGAAGGCAGTCGCTTAACCAACTGAGCCACACAGGCGCCCACTAAGGCAATTTTAACCAAAGTATAATGAAACAGAAATAAACAATTGTTTATTTGACATAGAAGATGAGGTGGCACAACTATTCTATGGCTTATTTAGAAATTAATTATTTGAAGCCATAATTTGAAGTCATAATTATCCAGTGCTTTAAGCAAAACACGTGATTTTTCATGTTTTTAAAGATTTTATTTATTTATTTGAGAGAGAGAGAGCAAGCATGAGTGGGGGGAGGAGTAGAGAGAGAAGCCAACTCCCCACTCATCAGGGAGCTGGAGGTGGGGCTCCATCCTGGGACTCCGGGATCATTACCAGAGCCAAAGGCAGACCCTTAACTGACTGAGCCACCCAGGCACCTCAAACACGTGCTTTTTCTTAAATGAAGCAGACCACCAAGATCTTAGGAATTCCTTACTCATAGTCCCCATCACCTTGAGCCATAAAGACCTCATATGGGTGAAGAGATGTCTACTGACTGCACCATACAAAGAAGTATCTTTCCAGGTAAGGTATTAATACTTGTCGCTTGGGCTTATTTTCTTCTTTGCAGTTCTTATTTTGTTCTTTATTTTAGTAATGATTTGTGTAAACCTCAGAAAGTCTCCCAGCTTGGGCAGAAACCTCCAGCTGAATCTCAGGTGTGCAGAGAACTGTGCTTCCTTCACTGGCCACTGCCGTCTGCACCACCTGCCTGCCGGGGGCTAATGCTGGGGAAAGGGCTCCAGAACATATAAGGAGCTGCACAAAGGAAAGGGGTCAATGTCATGGTCATCAGGAACTATCTACCTTCACTAATTAAAACCTTTAATCAAAACAAAATGTTGAATCGTCGTACAACTTGCCTAACTTGCCAGAAAAGCCGAACGCCACCGGAAAAGAATGAGTTTGATGTGAGGGAAAATGAGGTTAATGGAACAAGTTCAAGCCAAATGCTCTAAGATGTCACCCAGCGTTCCACAGAAACAGGGCAGCTGAGCGGTGGCTTCACAGCAGAGCATTGCAGCCACGGCCCGTTTTCAGGAAGGAGCAGGAATCTGGGGATCCAGGGTTTCCAACATAAAATTACAGCCTAGCACTCTACAGTCCAACCACTAAGGTCAACACGCTTGGATAACACTAATCTGTTGAGAGCATAAAATAACAGCGGGAACACGAAGCCTTGGAAGGAGGATGGAAGGGAAGGTGATGTGGACTCCAGGGAACAAGTTAGACTGGGGCTGTGTGTGTTTGTGTGCATTTCTGTATCGTGTAAGTAACCCAGACCAGAGATCCCCATCTCCAAGTGAAAGTCCCCGTCAAGCCAAGAGAAACAAACAAAATAATCCCTGCTATGTGTTCTCAGAGCCTAAAGTAATGAACCAAAACCGGTTAAAAGGAAATCAAATCTGTTCTGGGAAGTGACAGACCCTCTCACTTTGAGAGCACCGCCAACAATGACTTCAGGCAGAAGAGAGATCAAACCATCGGTTTCCCCTCAGGAATGCCCTTCTGGAATTGTCTGGAACCAGATAAGACCTTTGAGAACAACGGCCAACTGTTCAGGGGTTCAACTTTTCTGAAGGCGGGCACCCCAGGCCTCTGAGTCCCAGCACCTCAGTAAAGGCTGACACTTGGACAAAGTCCCCCATTAGGCTCTGGGGGCAACCCAGGACAGTTTCCCAAGACAGCTGGCAGCAGGGAGCTCTCTGAGGGGACCCAGTGCAGAACATCTTTACCAAAGAAGTTGTGGAGGGGAAATCTGGCCGTCAGCTGGGATACAGGTCTTAGATAAAGGTGACTTATGGGGAACCAGCATAAAGAAAGGGAATTATAACACGACCCAGAACAGGAGACAAAGAAGGGAGCCACCACCTTCCACTAGCTGGCTGATCAGAAATGAGAAAAATCAACTGTCCACCTAATTCCCAATTTCAGGTCTTGTGGGATGGAGACTCATTTTTTTGATGACCACCAGGTGAAAGAAATCACTAAAAGGTCCCTTTATTTTGTTTGCCTAGAGTCATTCCGTTTAACACATGACTTTAGTTTTCTACGCCTTATCACTGTCTGTTTTATTTCTCTCCCCCTCAACATACGAACACAAAATGCTATCAAACACACAACTTTTTAATTATAATGACTTCTTTTGTGACACAGTTACTTCATTTTGGTTCATAAAACATAGAATCGACAGGTTAAAGCACAGAACTGTGGAAATTCAGAATCGGGAGGCACGATATAGGTCAGGACTAACAAATGCCGACTGTAAGTTTTATATCCATGGCATCAGACAGAGTCACACAGAGGGAAAGCTCCAGGCAGCATCCTGTGATTTTATCCTTTGACTCTCAGAAGCATACAAACGTAAGCAAAGCCGAGAACGCAGTTCAGGTACTTACTGATTCCTTGAAAGAGCTCTTCGATATTAATAGCATTTTTTGCACTTGTTTCAACCACGACAGCACCTATGGATTCGGCATATTCCTTAGCATCCTTCAAGGGAACTTCCCTGGAAAAGAGGTCACACCCAGACAGAAATGAATGCTCATTTGTACAATATAAATAACCCAACAGACCAAACAGAAAGCTCATGTGGAAACAGCTCCTTTATCTAAGTGCTGTAGAATAACCACACAATCAATCAGCAAATATTGAAAACTAGTATGGGTGAAAATGTTTAAAGTTTAAAACCTGGTCTCTGGCATCCATGGAGATAAGACTCCCCATATGTAAAATGCTGTGCTGGTCCCACAAAAGGAAAGAATTCCAGAACATTAGAAAAACTCATTAGGAAGATGGCCGCATACATTTCAGCTTTCAGAGTTAGAGCTGATTTCAATTATTTTCCCATAAAAAATGACTCCATTTTTTTAAATTGTGTGTATGTGCATGTACACACGTGTGCACGGTTCTGCACACACACATGCTCTTGTAGAACTTTTTACATATTGTCTTTCACACATCAGAGAGAATATGTCACAGGATGTGAGCGTCTGGAAGTGAACATGGTTACAGCTACAATGGCTGTGATGCAATAGGACAGAACTGGACTTTCACCCGTAAAAGGCTCTTCCTGCAAAGATGTTAGGACATGAATTCTATTTAAATGAATAATCTAGAAAGACATTTATTGACCTATTTTTAATGTGAAGATGCTGTGGTGGATCTGAAGATTAAAAAGACACAGTTCCTGTTCCCCAGAAGTTTAGTCATGTATTCAACAAATATTTATTGAGTGGCTATTATACACCAGGCTCTCCTGTAGGTGCTAGAGAAAACAGTAACCCCTGCCTTCTGGAACCTCCACTTGAGAGCAAAGACAAACATCCATGGTCACTCTAACCCACAACATTGTAACATCTGCAATACGTGGATAATAAAGGTGCAATAAAGCACTTCAGAATGAGAGGAAGTACAGAAGTACCAAAAGTACAGAAGTACAGGAAGTATACAAAAGCACAGGAAGTGTACAGAGTACAGGAAGTATATAGAAGTACAGGAAGTACAGAAGTACAAGTAGTGTACAGAAGTTCCAGGAAGTACAGAGAAGTCCAGGAAGTATACAGAAGTACAGGAAGTGATGCACTTTGATCAATGGAACCTGGGAAGGTGAGTGGAGTGTGGCCATGAAGCAGGGTGAACATGCATGGCAATTTGTGATGCCACCTCCTGAGAAAGGCCCCATGGCAGGGGAGTATCCTCATCCCCAGATACTGTTCAAAGTTGATTCTGTACCCAGCACTGCCTTGGATGTAAGAGTGGATTTCCAAGGGAATGATATGGTGTCAGAATGGAGAGAAGGTCAGAATGACTGGAGCTGAGAGGGGAGGGGGTGGCCAGCAGGAATCCTGGCAGAGGGGCCAGAAGACACCCCCCATGCCTGTCTCATGCCCAGCAGCCACTGAAGAACAGGAGGCCAACAGGGTCAGCCCCACATTCTAAGGGAAAACAGTACACCAAATAGACTGGAGTGGGGAGTGAGGAGAAGAATTTGGAAGCTCTAATGCTGAACTAGACAGATGGCTACAGGAAAAGGAGAAAGGCAGACAGAAAATCAAAACTGGGAGCAGGGTGAAGAGACTGTATCCCTCTCCCACCTCCTTCCCTTTCCTCCACCCCTCCAAATGCCTCCTAAAAGGCTGTAACTGGTTTATAAAGTTACTGGGGAATTTCGCCCTTGGCATTTAAATTCATTATGGACCCCAAATCAAATGAGAGGAGGACTTTTCAGGTGCTAGCTGGAAAAAGGCTCAAGGAGAGGCTACTGTAGTAAAGGCAGTGGCCCCAGGATTCCAAACTGGAGAAAAGAAGCCTCCCGAGTTGTCAGCTGGAATCTGTACCACCGTAATCTTTCTTACCAAAGACCCACTGGGAAAAACTACGCTCCTTAACCTGCCCTCTCTACTGTTTCCAACAGACAAGCCCCAGGCCTCTCACAAAGATTGAAGGGGAAAAAAAGAAACTTGAGTTTTTTTGGTGGAAATGAATTTTACATTTGAAACATCCCAGAAAAGGGCTTTCCTACGTTCAGTTTGGCATATTACCCTATTTTTCGTTTCTTCCTGGTAGTCTTTATCAAAGCACAGATAGAAGCGTGGGGCTCATCTCTACCCAAATGTGCTTCAGGTAAGACAGGCTGTGCCTTGCTAATCTCCACCTGGGGGCAGGGAGTATTCTGGCCATCAAGGAAGCCTTGGAGACCCCTCAGGTGAGAGCAGATTACAGTCACATGCTTCCCCCCTAGCCCGCCTCCCATCAGCTCCTTTGTGAGACAAAGAGGAGTAGAATAGGTTTTGCCAAGATTAGGCAAGAACAAAGTCACTTGCCACAGAACCCAAAATATCCATCCTGAGCATAACAGTAAGCCTGAGTGGGCTAACCATCTCACAGTCTACATGCTGGACCCTGGAATGGACAGATAAGAAAAGTATGTCCTCACACTTCTTCCGTGTTTAGAAATGGTCTCATGAAATCAATGATTTTCCCAAAATGACATAGTGAGTCAGGGGTGGAGGCAGGGTCTAACCTAAGATCCTCTGGCTCTGCCCACTTTGCTCCCATCAGGCCTTGACAACATAACCACCCAACTGGCACCCACATTCCACAGGCCGTTCTTTCGATCTTCATAGACAGAAAATATGTGGGGTTCAAAAGATCCTCATACTGTAATATACCAGAATCAGGGGCGGAGGCAAGGGAAGGACATATCCTATCCTCCTAAAGAACAGGTTCTCACTCAGTCTGGAGGGCCAGTGAAAGTCCCTCTAACAACGAACTGAAATCAGAAGGACCAACCACACTTGGGTCTGTCAAAATAGGTTTCCTCTATTGTGGTATAAAAAGAAATATGTATTGTATGCTCTTTCTCCTTGCTTCTTGGCACAGAGGTCCTGAAACCACCAAGTTTCCTGAGTGACAGGTGAGCCCTTTGTTATTTGTAAAGAGCTCCATTATGCCATACCTGAGTTTCTTATAGGTAAGAGCCCCTATCGAGCTTCAGATGGGGGCTGGTTGCCAGGGGATCCAACCCTGTGATTAGAGGGTTGAAACTTTCAGCCCCACTCTCCAACCCTGGGGATGGGAGAACTGGAGATTTTATCAATCATGACTAAGTAAAGAAACCTCAGTGAAAACTCTTGAACACAGGGCTTGGAGGGTTTGAGTTGATGAACATGTCGAGGTACTATACCTTGCTCTATGCATCTCTTCCCTTTGCCTGGTCCTGAGTTGTATTCTTTAGAGGAAAACTGTAATCATAAGTCTAGTGCTTTCGTGAGTTCACAGAATTCTGTTCTAGTGAATTATTGAACCCAAAGTGGAGGGGACATAGGAACCCCCAAACTGGTAGTCCTGGGCAGAAGTGAGGTTAACTTGGGGATATCCAAGACTTGCATCTGGCATCTAAAGTGGAGGGGCAGTCTTGTGGGACTGAGTCCGTAATTTGTGGGATCTGTGCTAACTCCAGGTAGTTACTGTCAGAATTGAACTGAAAGGCAGGACACCCAGTTGGCATCGACAAATTGTTGTTGGAACAAACAGGCACAACTACAATCGAAAGAAGAGCCTTAAAAAGGTGAGAATTTCCTTCCTTGGAGCCTCTTGAAGGTAAAATAGAAACCACTGGGAACGCCTCCAGCTGCATTTCAAGAGAGGCCACTGCATACCCCACACGGCTGGAAGGCTGCCATCGCTGGTCTTCTGTAATTATGGTTACATGAGACTATGGCATCTAATGACTTTCGTACATTTTTTTCAACAAATATTTATCAAGTGTCTGCCATATGCTGGGCATTGTGCTAGGCATTGGAACAGATAGATTGAAACTAATTTGCCCAAGCCAGAGTATAAACAAAGCTAGTCAATTTTGATGGGAAAGACTGTTTTTCGACTTTCTAGACCAACCTATGTACAGAATTCAGGACTCCCAGAAATCACCCAGAAGAGTTACTGTCAGGGGCGCCTAGGTGACTCAGTCGGTTAAGTCTCTGCCTTTGGCTCAGGTCATGATCCCAGGGTCCTAGAATCGAGCCCCGAGTCGGGCTCCCTACTCAGCAAGAAGTCTGCTTCTCCCTCTCCCTCTGCCCCTAACCCCTACTCGTTCTCTGTCTCAAATAAATAAAATCTTAAAAAAAAAAAAAAAAAGTTACTGCCAACCAGTCAGCAAGTGTAGACTGGGAGTCCTTCTCCCTTGGCACCCCTCCCATCACTGCTCCTTTAGCCTCTTTCAGGAGCTGATGATGTTCTGCCTACTTTATATATCAGCATCCCGAGGGTTTCTTTCTTAACTGACATCCTACCCCCACCGGAAAGCAACCACAGGCAGGCCCAGTGGTCAGGTTAGAGGTTAGGATGCAGAGCCAATGGGAGACATGAAGGGCAGAGAAAGTGGGAAAGCTGGAGATCGGGGGGAGGCTACCGTCCACTTACCAGGAAAACACTAAATTCAAGGGACATCAGAAGAGACCAGAGTTAGGATCAGGACCAAGAGGCTGAGTGATGGGGAGAGAGAGCAATACGGGTCAGGCTTAGGGTGGAAACACACAGAAGGGAGTCTTCTTCTAACCCAGGTCTGGTGTTAATCAGCTCATACTTCAGTGTGGTCCACACAGCAGCCTGTCACGTGTCTTGGACCCGGGCAGAGGCCTGAGCAGGCTACAACACTCGCAGGCTCTCCATGGGGGAGGGAGGTCAGGAAACAGCATTCTTGTGGGCTCCAGAGTTTTCAACGGGCTACACTGCCCAACAAGGGTCCTTGTTTTGTTGTTCGTGAAGTAACCTGGCAATGTGGCAGCTGACTCATTCTAATTTCAGAGGTATTTAATTCTCCATGATCCTCCCCCATGGATGGCAGAGGAAGAGGAGGGCAGGTAACCCAAGAAGGAGTTCCTGAAGCCCTACCCGAGCGGGAGGGGAATTCAAAGCAGCAGGCTACAGGCAGAGTGATGCTCTGTCCCCCGTAGGGTTTCATCGGGAAGGTTCAGTTCCATCCTGAAAGTCAGTGTATATAGG